CTTATAAAATCTGATGATCTATGAGGAAAATAAAAATACTTGTCTTTCCTCGATTATTCTCAGAAGTGGTTTTAGGTCCTTATTACACTTGGCCACAGCTTTTCTGGCAAGAGCTTCTCATGGAACCTGGTTAATCAGCCTTTCTTTGGATACAAATACAAGCAGTTGAGGCTCTGTTTTGGAGCATGCCATGAAGTACTTATTTAGGGAAATGCTATATAATATTTCAGGAGCTGGCTGGGTAAGGGATTTTATTTTTTTTTTATTACATAGGGCAGGAGAAGTGTGAAGATGATAATTTGTCCTTGATAAAGCAATCAGGCACAACTAACAAGATTGTCATTATATATATAGCTCCTCCCTTGGGTCAGCCAGTAATTCCAGAGGAACCAAACAAGCACAGGACAATTACACGTCACACAGTTACCCAAGGGGAACAACAGTACACCTCTACTTTCACTCTTCAAATGACAGAACAATTAATGGGAGGAGCCTGAAGGAAACAAATCATGCCATCTAATAACAGTCCATGGCTGAGCAATTTGACAAATGAAGAGCTGAGATTCTGCACTTCATGAGGCAACCGGTGCTGCAATTTGTACAGTTTGCATGCCAAACAGTGACTAAATGAATACCCTGGCTCTATAGGATTTGTTCAGTAAGCAATATAGTAAGAACTATTAATGTCAGCTGCAAAGGAGGACTAGCATTTACTAACTGGAAAGGTAAAACTGTCTCTTAATATTTACAGTAACGTGTCCATGTCCTGTATTTTTTAGGTCTAGCTTATAAATTCAAGCATAGAATTTCACTCTGAATCATAGCAGATTTCACTGGTGGGGTAAAACCTTCAGGGTAATCCCCAAAGCATGTTACCAGTGAGTCAGATTAGCATATAAAATGCATATGCTAGAAATGCTAGAAAGGAATGGAGTGCATTTAGTTTATCAGTGGGCTAGTCATCTCCAGACCTTCTCAGAAGCTTCATCAATTCTACAAACTAATAAAGGGGGCCAGAAGAACCTGTTAGCACAAGAGGTACCATAATTCCGTCAGGGAGTGCTTTTCAAATGCATGACTGACCAGATCTTTACAAATATACTTCTGTTCTCCACAGTAATCTGAGTTTAGTGTCTTTCCCTTCCTCTGTGCATTCCACTCTTTCTGCCATACAATTCTAGAGGTACCATTCAGTCACGCACATTTTATTTCCGTGTATTTCAGTAGTTAGAGATACGGTAGGTGACTGAGTATTCGCCTCCTTCTCCCAAATAGCCTTTATTAAACAATCAAGTGGGTTTAAAACATAGCTTTTAAGCACATTTTTTGATTAGAAAAATACTAATTTTCATGAATCCTGGATTAGATAGATATTAATTCTCCCATGCTATTTTCTGAAACATATACTTTGTTACTTCTCCAAAAGAAAAGAAATACAAGCATTTTATACCAGTCCTATAGTTCTGTATTTTGTGCATGAAAACAGTTGAAAAAGTTTAGTTTGCTATACATATATATATACACCTCTAAATACACAAGATACTGCAATTTCTTAATTTAATACTACTCCCCTTACCTGAAGATGGTTACAAAAAAAAAAAAAAAATAGTCCTACTAGTTGCTGTAACTTTTTTTTTTAAAGCAAGTTGGACTATGGTTACAATACCCTGGATTACAAAATGCTCAATTCCATTAGCTTTTAAACTGACAAACAAGTAATTTAGGATGATATGCTTTTAAAGTTGTGTAGCTTATAGCATCTGCCATCATAACAAAAGATGAGAGAGTTAAAAAACCAACTTTACACCTTTTACTTAAAAACCACATAAGAAATGCAATACGGAACATATTGAAATGGGAATTTTTTGAACAAATAATATATAGTGTTAACAATAAGCATAAGCACTAAGCAGCATTTTTTTTCCTTTGTGATACTGCTCCAGCAATTGTTAGTTCCTTATAGATGTAAGACTACAGCTAGCTGACACTTTATGAAGAGATCTGCAGTTGAAATATTGATTCGAACAGTATTTCCCAGAAGTTCTATTCCTTTGAGTAACAGAAATGGGATTATTCTTGTGCTCATTAAAGTTATTGTAAAAATTAAATCCCAACTTCCATATGATTCACTTTCCAGCAGAAAATCACATACATGAAGATAATACTGCTATTTCTTAAGCTACCTAACAGAACAGGTAACTACTAAATTTCCACAGGGAAAAGGCTGACAGCAAATCTTACATATTTTCCTATGAAGGAAAAAAAAAAAATAAAATTCCAAACCAAAACCCACCACCAAAAAAAACCCCCAAACCTTGTTAAAATTCTGTATTATAATTTTAAACTCAGGTAACAAAGCACACCCGCAAGGCATTTCTTTCACCAAAATCATACCGCAATCGAGGGAACCAGCCCTATTACTGTATTATAAAACTAGACTATTATGGCAGGCTCTCCATTTCCCTATGCATCTTTTAACTCTAAAGACAAGTAACTCCTATTTGTATTCAAAAAAGACTCAATTCAAGCATATTAAAGTTCATGGGCAACCCCCACCCCACTTTGTGTCTTAAGCAAACTTTCCTCTAGCTAGGACCTGGGCTTTTCCTTCTTTTTCATGGGAGTAAATTTCAGCCTTTGAAAATAATGAACAGTTATGATCAGCATGATCTTTAAATACCTGCATTAGCCAAATGCTTTTGCAGCATTCTTTGTGCATCTTTTCACCCATCTTTGGGCTATGCCTGGTTTGCAGAATGTGGCCTATAGCACTCTCTGTTGCAAAATGCCAGGTCCAAGTTCATAGAATCATTTAGGTTAGAAGGAACCTCTTGGGATCATGTAGTCTAAGACCCCCTGCTCAAGCATGGTCAGCTACAGCAGGCTGCCCAGGATCATGTCCAGTCAGGTTTTGAGTATCTCATGGGATGGTGACTCCTCAACCTTTCTGGGCAACTTGTTCTAATATTTGACCACCCTTACAGTAAAAAGCTGTTTCTTTGTGTTCAGATGGAATCACTGTGCTTTAACTCATGTCTGCTGCCCATTAGTCCTGTCACTGAGAGCTACTGAGAAGAGCCTAGCTCCTCTATCTTCATTGTCTCCCACTGCATATTTATACACAGTGGTAAGATCTCCCCCAAGTCTTTTCTTTCCCGAGCTGAAGAGCTCCAGCTTTCCCAGCCTCTCATACACAGCCTTGTGCTAGACTTGCTCCAGTAAGCTTCTATCTTTTTTGTACTGGGGAGCCCAGAACTGGACACAGCACTCTAGATGCATCCTCATCAGTGCTGAGAGTAGAGGAAGGATCATCTCCCTCAGCCTGCTAGCAAAGCTTTGGCCTTTATTGCCACAAGGGTGCATTGCTGGTTCACAGTCAGTTTGCTGTCCACCAGGACCACAAGGTCTTTCTCGACCAAGCGGCTTTCCAGCCAGTCAGCTCCCAAGTTGCACTAGTGCCTTGGGCTGTTCCTCAGGGAGCAAGACTTTGCATACCCCTTCGTTGAACTTTGTGAGAAGCCTCTGCCCGGTTCTCCAGCCTGATGAGGTCTCTTTGAAAGGCAGTACATCATCTGGTGTTACCAGCCACTCCTTTCAATTTCATATGGTTTTCAAACTTGAAGAGGGACACACTCCATCCCATAATCCAGGTCATTTATAAAGGTGTTGAATAGTATTGGCCCCAGTATTAAGTCACAGGGTACACCACTACTGACTTGCCTGCAAATGGATTTTGTGCCACTAATTACAACCCCCTTATGCCCACTCGTTTGGCAAGTTCTTAATCTACCTCTCTTTGCATTTGCACCATTAAACCTGTACTTTATCAGTCTGCCTACTAAAAGGTAAACAACGTGGACTGCTCTCACATCATCCACAAAGCTAGTTGTCTGTGTAGAAGGCAAGGAGGTTGGTCAAACACAACTTCCCCTTTGTAAATCAATGCTGACTACTCCTGATCACCTTCTTGTCCTTCATGTCTTTGGAAATGCTTTCCAGGAAGATCTTCTCCACCGCTTTCCCAATGATTAAGGTGAAGCTGACTAGCCTGTAGCTCCCCAAATCTTTCTTCTTGTTTTTCTTGAAGATAGGAGTGATTTTTTTTTCCAGTCTACTGGAAGATCTCCCTATCTCCATAACCATTCAAAGATAATTAAGAGTGGCCTTGCAATGGTCTCAGGGGCCTGGCATCCATGAAGGCTTATTTTACTGGTAGAGACTAATGCAAAGAAGGCACTAACACATCTTCCCTACCCCATTTGACAGCAGGCCCACCATTTGCTGTTTATGTACTTGTAGAATCAGTTCTTGCTGTTCTGCCTGAAGGCTGAGGAACTATCCCATAGCTAATGGCTACTCCTGCTCCTTAAGCCACATGCCCTTTGCTAGACTCGTAATACCTCTCATGTTCTGGGGCAATAAGGAAAATGCTTTGATTCCACTGGGGGTGGTTCAGGAGTCCAAGCTGATTTTCCAAGCCTATGCTTTGTGCAGTGGAAGGCAACATACAAAAATGGTATTTTTCATGTTTTGCTCTTTAAAATATTTATTTCTACTACTATCTCCAATTTCTGTATAAATGGGTAATGTTCTAGATAAGGTAAGGATATAAGAAATACTTGGAGGCTCAAGTATTGTATCAGAAATATGTGCTGACTTTGTAAAAACCAACTACATTTTACATTAGGCAAAATAATGAATAAACTTTTCTGATTAGGAAGATGTAAAATAAATGAGTGGTTTTCCCTGTAAATTCTACTGCAGAAGTCACCTGTATGACTTGTACTTAACCTTTTTCTTCTCATGCAGCATTACAGTACTTCCCCCCTACCCATCCCACAAAACAAAACAAAAAAAAAAAAAAAAAAAAAAAACACCAAACAAAAAAAAACCCCAAATATTCCACTAGTTGTTACAGATTGCACTTTTAAAGCACAGACTTGCCAGTCCTCAGCATTTCCAGTGTCCTATTTAAAATGTTGACATACACAGTCTTTATTTTATGAAACTGGAAGATTTCGCCTAAGTACTTCTTTTGATGCTGGAGAAATGTTATCTGGGAAGATGACTTCAAACTCTATAATTAAGTCTCCACGTTGGTCAGGATTTTTGGGAAATGGCAAACCATATCCTATAATCCTTCTTCTCATCCCAGGCTTTACAACTTCATTTACTGTCATAGGTATGGTTCTTCCTTCTATCGTTGGCACGTTGAAAGAGCTGCCACATAAAGCCTAAAGAAAAATTGTATCATGAGGGAAAAAAGAAAAGAAAAGAAAAGAAAAGAAAAAATTGGTCAGAACTTTATTTGTACCTAACCTGATTTTAACTCATTTAGAAAAGACTAGCATTCCAAACAGTATTTCCACTGTGCACTCCTGAGATGACAAAATCCAAATACAGTGCTCCTCTCAAAAAGAGAAGTCTTCAATTTGCCATTGAATATCACAGAATTTACTAATTTTATGCAATGGCCACTGACTGGTAATGAGATTATACACCCTTCAAAGACTTTATCAAATAAGAAAGTAGCCGAGATAGAGTGAATTCTTCACTCATACTTCTCTACAGATGTCCAGCTTCTCAGTTTCCATTGGAAAGAGTCCTGTTCCATTTGCTGTGTGTTGGCATTGTACAGGGGTTTACCCTAATACACTATCAACCTATACTATATGACATTGCAGAGCAAGTGTCTATATGCAGAGGCACTGAATTTCACAGCCATCTTCAGACAGCATTTGCAATGCTCAAAGAAAAGCAAACAACTATTCTAGTGCATCAAAAATAAAACATCACTGACCTCCTCCTGTTTTATCCAATAGCTTGCTTTCTTTTCTAGGACCCAATAGCAACATTCTGATTCCTCCAACATCACCTGATTCAGCACACTTAGTCTATACTGATAATGTCCAATTCACATAATACAGTAAGCCTAAATAGGCTTTTATCTATGAAGGTACTATATTATCCACATCAACATTAAACACTGTCTTTTCTCCCTCATCTTGTTTTAGGTGCCTCAACTCACTTAAAATGTATTTTAGATAAGAATCCTTTAAGGAGAGAGCTCATCATGTACACAAAGAGCTTATAATGCAAGCAGGAGTTTATTTCTCCACCTAATGCTAATTAAGAAATAAAAACACATTACACACACTCAGCTACAGTATCTTTTAAATGGTGAACATATCAGGGCTTGAGTTCTTAAGAACTCTGCTCACTTGTCTTCCTGATTTTCCCTTTTGAAAGCCAATGTGTTTTGACTCAGAACAGAATATAAAAAAAAGCTATACCATTTTTGTTGTTATATATAGCTCCTATAACACCTGTTCACAATAATTTATCCTCATGAAATCAATCTTCATGTACTTTGAAATCACACTGAAATAACTTATGACATAAAAAGGGAGACTTAGAATTTGTTGGCAGTGAAAGTATTTAAGACATTTCTACTTTGTCCTACAGAAATAGCAATCATATCGCAGCAGTAAAAAGCATGCTGTATTTGATGTACTTGTTAATTGTATTTGTGTTTGTTACTTCAGCTTTTCCTTTTTTTTTCCCCATCAAAAAGTTACTGCTTCTACTATAAATAATGGTGCTCTGTGGCCACAGTGACATTACAAGAGTGAAACTATTAAAAAAAAAAACAAAAACCAACAACAAAAAAAAACCCCACAGGAAGTTTACTGCTGCCACACAGGGTAGCCACTGTATCACACTGTAACAGGTTTAAATATTTAGAGTTCTACTAAAAGAGAAACTTACCTCCCTTAAGCTGATCTTAACAGGATAGATAATATTTGATCCATCTCTTTTGAAGTGAGAGTGCGGTTTATCTTTAATGATAAAAACAATATCAGCTGGAATTGTGTTAGGTGTTTCATCACCTTCTTTCGGAAAAGTGATTTTGGTGCCTTCTTTCCATCCTCTTTTTATCTCAATAGTAAGAATTTTGTCCTCTGTTCGGACACTTCTGCCATCTGGGTTAAGCCTTTTACGTGAAATTCTCATCCTTTTTGTGCAGCCATGATAAATCTCTTCCAATGACACTTTTAGTTCATGGATTACAGGGGGATCTTGTTTACGACGTAACTGACTACCAACTGTATTTCTTTCCCTTGGAAAACCATTCATACTAAAACTAGTGAAGGATCCAAATGGGTCACCATCCACCTCCATGTCTTCAGTGTCTCTGCCACCAGGCATCCTCCTTCCAAAGAAGATCTCAAAAGGATTTGTGCCACCAAAGAAAGCTGCAAATGTAGCATGTGGATCACCATGGAAGGAGTACCGGAAGGTACCACCCTGTCCATCAGATCCTCCAGCTCCTCCTTTCAGACCTAAGTAAGACAAATAAGCAAAGTTAAAAACAAATATAATATCAGCATAAGCTTTCCTATTGTAGAGTGTAATGATACCAGAACTGATGAGTCAAAAGGTCTTTGCAGTAGAGTGAAAGGTCTCCTTTTCAACGAGGACTCGCCAACAGCCTATGCAGTACCAACCAGTAATTCAACAGCTTGAACAGAAATAAAGTCTCTGAAGCTCTAGAATGACCCCTACACTTCTGCAAAATCTGTTGGAAGTTGCATTCCTCTTCAAGATCACTTCTGGGGAAAATTATACAGTATCATATGCAACATTATCCATAGCCTCCGCTGTTCAGCTTAAACTTGGTGTTAATTAGCTTTACCTCTTTATCTTTCAGTTTGAGTAAAAACTAAAATGCCAATAGTAAAGCAGCGATATGCCTCGTTAATGTTCAGTTTAGCATCCCAAACTTACCAGAGCTTGTGCTCCTATGATATAAAATAGGTAAGAAACCTGGGAACTTTTTTCAATGCATCCACAAATAACAATAGCTTGGAAGTTCCTAAGACCCATTTGGGTACAAAGACCTTGAATTTACTGTCACTGTCTCTGTGCAAAACAAACAATGTTCTCAAATAGCTTTGTTCTTTCTCTTCTATCTTCTACAAGGAGAGATCTACATTTCATTTCTTCCAGATAAGAGTTCTCTCACAATTCTTACTGGACAGTCCCTTGTATTTTCTGCTCTCTCATTCCAAACCCAGCTAAAAATCAATTTTCCTAAATGCCTCTTTCCCAACAGGTGATCTCTAAGTATTTCCTCGTAATAGTTAGTGCTCTCCTGCACTGACCATTTCAGGATACTTTCTCAAACCTTTAGGATGAGAGGCTGAAAGTCTTCTTAAGAGATACTTTTATTTCTAAATTTACAATGTTTGCCTGGTTTGGGGTGGGTTTTTTTCCAGTCTTACACAGCTCAGTACTACAGCTGCTATCCTGGTTCCATAGCCATAAAAATCTGAACACTTACAGTAGGGAGGCATGCCTTCCCTGAATTTGAAAACGTGGTTTGGTTGGGGTTTTTTTGGCTGTTTTGGACCTTCTGTGCTTAAGCTCAGTAGTAGTGGTTAACAGCAACCAAGACAGTAGGATGAGAATGCTTTCCCCATGCCAATATCAGACAATATTAAAAGTACTTAGCAACATGTAGTACATCCTTCTGTCACAGTACAATTAATATCAAACAAGCAGATCAGTGGAGTCAATCTCTGATAGTAGAAGGACACTTCCTAAAATAGCTAGCTCAAAGTTACTGAAGGCACATCAAGTTTCTGGCTGTAAAAACACTATTTCCTCTGTCCTCCCACCCCACCCACTGCCTTTCCCTCACAACTTCCAGTTACACTCTCAGATGTAACTGAAGAACTCAGAGAGCAACTGAGGCATTAGTAGTTATTTCGGATTCACCACTCAAAAATTCATACTTAAGTTTAGTATTATGTCCCAAATAAACAGAAATCTGCATTTTGAACCTCTATCTTCAAGTATGCAACACTAGGATGCCAAAGGCTGCAATGCTTTAAATGCTTTACTTCAAGCTCTTTGGTAAAAGTGACTAAAGTGCTATTTTAGGATGAGCTGCTGCACAAGACTTAATATGCAAATGAATAAATAGGTATATAATGATACACAGAAAAGAGGCAGTGGGTGAGAAGGAACAAGTGCAAGAAGGCAAAAGACTCAAAAGACAACAATAAAGACCTCTGGTATCTACATAAATGCTTTTTTCCTAGAATGCTTCACTAACAGCAGTAAAGCTTTGAACCCATGCACTGGAAGAGAAGACCATAAAAACCCCGCATCCTCTGTAGAAACTGAAGGTCTTCTACATGAATTTATGGATGTTAATTATATTAAATCCTATGGATGACAGAGGACCAAATTACTATGTAGTCATAAGAGGCCACAATTCTCCCTAAAGTACTGCTATTTAAGTGTCCTCCTTTATATTAACAAAAAACACGGCCCTGAGTGAATGGCAATGAGTGAGGGGACCTACTTGGCACAACAGAAGTAATGATTTCATGTGGAATTTCTGATACCGTACATTTAGGGACAGGGATGTTAATGACTTCCTCTGTTGCTCAATTGTAAGACTGAAAGTCACATTGGTCAAAAAAAAAAAAAAAAAAAAGTCATCCTCTCTGGATATCCATTTTAGGATAAATATGACATTTCTGAGGCCTCATTCTCTTGGCATGTTATCACTGTTTACAATTAAAGCTAAAAAATTGTTCTGGTATTTCATGACATCAGCCAAATTCTTTCCTCTCCAGGCAAGAAGCCAAGGACAACTATCGACTGGACACCTGGGCTTCTGCTCAGGACTACCCTACCTAGATCAAGCAGATTACCCTTTAGCAAAAATTTAAGAAATTAATATATCTCTTTCAACTGCACCTCAAAAAGTGCTATGGCAAGGGAAGGCAGCAGTAAGTTATCCCAAAAAGCTACTTGTGGGTCATTCAGTATTTTTGAATTCATTAACTTTTTTGTCTGTCAAGTACAAAAAAAAAAAAAAAAAAAAAAAAAAAAGAAAAAGAAAAAAACCATTAAAAAACTATATCAGCACTAAAACTCTGCAATACAGTTTATGTATTAAAATTAATGAGTCCAACTGCGAAGCAGTTCAAATACATTGCCTAAAAATCAACACATTTTGCTTCATTTAACATAATGAAAGCAACTGATCACAGCAAAACAGACATATACATACCTTCCTCCCCAAACTGATCATAAATGTCTCTCTTTTTGGGATCACTCAGCACTTCATAAGCTTCTGCAATCTCTTTGAATTTTTCCTCTGCATGAGGAGACTTGTTCTTATCTGGATGCCATTTAAGCGCTTGTTTTCTGTAAGCCTTTTTGATATCCTCTTCAGAAGCCCCTTTTTCAATTCCCAGGATAGAATAATAATCTTTCCCCATCTTGACTGTTGGAAGAATTCAGATTTTCCTTGCTATAGCAAAAGCACTGTCCAGTGTCTTAGCAACAGAGAGATGCTAGAGAAGGAAAAACAAAAATCAGATTTGGAATTGAAACAAACAGAACTGTTACAAATCAACACTTTCCAATATGTTAAAGAAACACTAGACAGCGTCTCCTTATTTCATTCTTTCCCTTGCTGCTCATTTATAAATAATTATACACAGTGGACAAGACACAGCCCTCTTTAGAGCCCTCCCACCTACAGTACGTGTCTCCGCTCTTTCTAGAACAACAAATAATACAGGACGTCATTTCCCTGACTGCCCCAGCTGAACAGTCAGCACAGCTTTCACTCCCTCTTTCACACATACGCATGCGCGCACACACACGCACACAGAGAAAATGCTGAACTTCTATCTCCTCCCTTCTCAAGCAACTAGAAAGTTTAAAGGTTTAATAGTATAATAGTGCCTTGCACCACCAGGGCTGAATCCAGTCTGCTCTGCAGACAACTCCCCCAGTAGTAATGCCAGAGCCCATCTAAATTAATTATAGCATTTTACTTCACTGTTTCTATAGAGACAGCTGTACGCATAACTGTTTTCTAAACATATCAATGTGGATTTGTACTCTTTCCAGCGAAGGCTACAGAGTATTTTGCACCAAAGTAACTACAAAGCTTCAGAAAGCATAACTTAACTTCTTTAAAATTAAGCCACCTTCCACCACATTTGACTGCAGCCATATATAATTAAGCAGTAAGAAATCAAATCTAAGAAAACACCATTCAGATTACCACAGCTCAAGCCATTCAACTATAGCAGGCCCTGACCTCCTTCTACACAAGACTATTATACAAGTATGGCAGATAAATTTCATCTAATGGGATGTTAGCAACAGAAAAATACCTAGTTTCTATGCATCTGTTCTACAATACACAGTGCAATGAAGTATTTCTCAAGCTGAGGGAATGGTATGGAAGCTCCAGCCTGCAAGACTTCTTTAAGAGCTATAGGTCAAGGAATTATCACTACTTGTCAGTATGGCAATAAACTTCAAGACTAATTGAGCTTGAAGAAACACTCCTCCCTGGAACAAAGTACTAAAATACACCATTTTGGTCATATCTAGAAGTTACCTGTATGAAGACATTCCCAGGCTCAATTATGAAGTTACCTGTGTGAAGACAATTATGTTCAACTGCCTGCCTTTTAATGATAAAAAGAAAGGCAGCATATAATAGCCAAGGGACCATCAAACTCAACTGAAGAAAACAAACCTTCTGATTGAGGGAATATTATTATTGGTTTTCAAAACCTGCTCTAACTTAGAAGGAGGCTGACAGTGTCACCCCCCTATTCCTCACATACTATCCTTTTCTATTTCTGCAATAGGATTGGCTACATTTCCTCAATGTATCCAGGAGTTGCTTAATGTATACATTTTTTTTTATGAAGACAGAATAAAGATGAGATTACATCACAGTATTTGAGAAAGCAGTAACTTCTGCATATCTGAAGTTATTTCAAATGTAACAGAGTACATTTGTACCAAATGTGCCAAAGGGTACTGAAAAAAGGAATCGGCTGTGCTTGCCACCAAATCTCTCAGGACTTACTTGCATTTTTGGAACACTGGAAGATACGAGGTTACAGAATCACTCTTTACAGTTAAAGAAGGAAGTTGTTGCCAAGCTCCACGTGGAATAAAGCTATTCTTCTACTAATCATCCTTTTTATCTTTCTTTTGAAAGTGCTGCTTTTGTTAATTTATAATTAGTAGTTCAGATAAATTCTCATAGACTTGCATTCTAAATTCAGCATATGGAGTTTTGAAAAGCAGTAAGTACAATAGCTTGAATTAAAATTGGACTTCAGTTGATTTTATGTACCACTCCCTAGGAAGCTACTTTACCTACATGTGTTAGTGGGCAGTTTTAACCTTACTATGCTCTAGAAGTGGTTGCAAACAGGACAAATCACTATCCAAACCCAGCAGTTATCATACTCTGAACTACAACAGGAAACAAACATCATAACTATCAACAGTGTAAGATTTAGAGCAGCCTTAATCTCTTGCAAAACTAGAGAACAAGTTGTTGTGCTCAGCTATGCTCCCATGGTATGGTTTGAGCAACATCTGGGGGGGTCATAACTTACATTACCTTAAGTACTCCCACCAGTGAGCGTCTGAGAAGGACCCCATGACATTTGGGTCACTGTGTTGTCATATAATGGAATTGTCAGAACAGCAGAAACTCAGACTAGTTTCAGGATTGTATTTTTCATTATGTTTATCAAAACCTCTACTCAATGGAAGTGGCAGGACACATACACTAGTTTAATAAAAACAAGGCATAAGAAGTTTTCCCCTTTGAGAATATAATATTAAACACTGATGTCCTTTTAAGCATCAAAAGGATACTGAAGGAGCTGCAATTAGCAAAGCTTAGCACTCCCTTTGTAAAACACAGGAATTAATTTCCTGTGTTTCATTAAAGACACAATGGTCAGGATTTCTCTTAAACCAAGTTTGTTTTCCTTGAATGTCAAAACTTACTAATTCTGGTAACAACAAAAGTTACACTGGGACATTCTGACAATCAGTCACAGTCAGTAACTGTTCAGGCATCCTTTCTCTCCCTACAGAGAGGAGTGCCAAGTTATACCCCTAATTAGATAAGTTATTCCCCCAAAATGAAGTCACTTAAGATTCTGAGCAAGATGTACAGCATCACTTCTACTTCCTGCTCTGCACGGGAATCTTCATGTCAGAATGAATTTACAGTCTAGAATTTCACATCTTCTAAGAGTTGACAGGACAACTGGAGTGTCGCCTTCCAGAAAACACGTTACTTCTTTTTTGCTGAGACCTTTTGGAAATACGTGTAGGCTGCAGTTCTTCTCACATGCTTTCGAGTTCTTTAATTTGTAATAGAAGAGATATACCTCTTAGAAGTAGTGAAAACTTTTAAAAATTATTATTCAAAGACTAGCATTCATAAGATGAACATCTAATGATCATGCTAATTATCATTTGGGTACATCCAGTCATACCATGACATCTTAAGACACTGGAATTCCATCTGGTAACGGTGATAAGTTCTTACATCTTCCAATCTTCTAGTATTAGAGCAATTTCAAGGACAGATCAATCACAGCTGTTAGATTTTGAGAACTCTAAATATCTGATCTTTGCAATTCTTTTTTGTCCATTTTGTCATTTGATCCCACATTCCTCTTCAGAGGAAAAGAAAACAAGGAAAATCCTTCATGTACTCTCCAAAGACTTCTGGCATTGCAGTCCCTTTGAGTAAGCACAGATAAACAGAAACCAAAACAGCTTAGGGGGAAAAAAAAAAACAACCAAACAAAAACAACCAACCAAAAAACAAAAACACACCACCACCAAAAAACACACATACACACAAAACCTTCACCACCAAAGCCCCCTTAGTTTTACAACTATAGTCCTACCTTCCCTATTATATATGTTACTGTAAACACCTAGAATTGGAAGCATTTAAAAAACTCTCCTAGACTGAGAAGATTCCATTTCTAATATGTTTAAATAAGATTCTTATTTTTTGTTTAAATGCTGAATAAGTGTCCCCTACCTACTTTCGAGTACTGTCATAGTACTCTTATGCACTGAGAAAATTAGCAGCCTGTATTTGTTCCATGCTTCCTTACACTGATGTTATTTGTTATAGTCCAAATTAAAATCCAAATACATAAAATGGGAATTTCAGTTCAAGCTTTCTAAAGTCATTTGGGGAAAAAATTGTGCCTTCAACTGTAACAAATTACTAAAGAGCCAAATAGACAATTTACTAACGGTGCAGAACTTGCCTAACTTAAGCCCACTTTTATCTAGAGGATTTTCTATTGTCTTTGATCAAAACCAAGAAAATAACATTGCACTTTTGGAATACAAGAATTCCTTTTTTTTAATTTAAAAATGTTTATGAAATAAACACTAGGAAGCTGTAACTTGTCCCTTTGATAGTTTACCTTCACTTCCAAGATAGAGTTTGGCTACTTACATTCAGCATTTCACTTGAGTTAGTATTTCAGCGAAATAATTGTGGCTTTAAAGTATCTTTCCCATTATTCACTCTGAACAACTGTACTTCAACTCACATACATATGGACAAGTGCTACACATCATAACTTTGGCAGAAGAGTGGGAGCAAGGTCATACCACTTCCAGGTCTTGAAACACATCAACAACATTAACTCTTGAATTCATTGTCTCTTTAAAGAAGACTTCATAAGGACTGAAATAAATTAAGGAAACATTCACAACAATAGTCACACTGAATTCAAATTCTAGATTAATCACAAATTAGCACCAGTATAAGGCTATTTTAAGGAAAAGCTTCTATGCAGGACAGTATCATTATTCCCTGAAATATGTGAGGTTGAACAAAAATACTCATTATTTCCTATAAATTAAGCTATTTCTTCTGCATTCATCACCTATTAAACTTCAGAAACAAAACTGAAAAAGACAGGACTAGATCACAGAACAAGTCGAAGAGCAAACAAAACCACAAAGGCAAATTCCAGACAGATCACAACTATAAATACACATGTGCACATAAATGTCAAGGCAGAGGAGCCAAATCCCTCCCCAGAAAAAGCTGTTTCACAATTAAGTATCATAATATTTGCAAACCCACATTGATGAATGGAATAAATCAACACTTCCTCTACAATGATTTGAAGAAAGCACATCCATATACGAAAGTAAAATTTACCGTAAGACCATCCATTATTTTCTCAGAGAAAAAGAATTTCACAATGACTTTTCTCCCCACCATCTTCAATTGTATGTAGCAGTTAACTGAGCTACGTTTATACTTTTGGATTGTGAATAAGACCTTGCACAAGCAAACTTCATTCATGAATTCATTAAATAGTTTCACTACAGAAGTATTCATAAATAGAAATAAATTCTAGAGTTTACTACACTTTCTATATTTAAAAAGTCGATAGCATTGTCTGGAAAGAACCAGTCAGATTATTTTTGGTTTGGGAAGAGATATTAAATGAAGCTGCAGGATACAAAGTTATTAGAGACAATTAAATTCATTTTATTTAAGTTATACTGGTCCTAGCATCAACAAAAGTATT